ATTAAAAAGATTAATAACAAGATACAATGAAGGGGATGAAAACCTTACCTCGTCTAATTAACACAAAAGGATCTAAAATTAGGAAAATTGAAAGCATCTAATTTAAAGCACCTCAAACTTGAGGGGCAAATGAAGGAAAAGAGAGCAATTAGTAAGGCTCCCCAGCTCTGCCGAATTGGCTAAAAGGTGTGGTGCTATGTTGACCTCCAGGTAACAATGTCAAAAGCTCATTTCCCGTCCCTGCTTTTTCATGTTTTTTTTAATCAAAATACACTATTATGGTTGTATGTAAAGGTGTCTAACTTTCTATACTTTTAATCACCACATTCATGGTCAAAAATAACAATTTCATGTGCTATTCTAACATAATATTTCTTCCTTCATCCAATCAACCAAACATAGCATGTTTCTAAACTCTCCCGTTTTTATCCCTCCCCTCCCCCAAACATAGCATGTTTCTAAACTCTCCCGTTTTTATCCCTCCCCTCCCCTCCCCTTTTCTGAATAGACTATGAAGAAGCATAACCCCTACAAAGGTTAAAATTAAATGAATTTTTCTATATTTTCTAATGAATAAAGAAACAAATACACAAAAAGAAACATGATATTTAACTGTAGAAGGTCTTATCATGCTACAAAGATACTGAAGACAATCAGCAGTTCTCATACGAGTGAATATGAAATAAAAGAAAACTCAAATTGGCAATCAGGCACATAGCATCCAATTTGAGCAAGAATGGCAATGGTACTTGTTGAAGATCTGTACTTTTCCGCTCCGACGAAAACATATAGAATCAGGCTCTGGAAAAAGTGCATCTAAACCAAATTCATAATTAAGATACTCTAAGCAGATTCATCTAATAATGGTTTAACAACAAGTAACACTTCACCTTACAACATTCAATTTTTTGAATATGAGCAACTTTGTAAAAGTCATGCCAAATGATATACATTTCGATTCTAGAATTTCTTACATGTTAGGAGCCATCACAATTCCCATATTTGATGCTTCAGACAGAAATATATTATTGGACTGTAAAAAAGAAACATAATCTTTTTTTGTTAGTTCCACGTTATGTTGACATCATACTATTATGTACACTGATATGATGAATGATACTCGTAATATACATGAGCATTTTCTCTCTACAACCAGTTTCCTACTTTAGTAATCATTTAATCCCTCTCGTTCTTATTTAACTTTACATTTTCCTTTTTTGGATGTCTCAAACAAGTTTACACTTCCTTATTTGACAAACAAATCTAAACCAAAACAATGCAAAATAGTGCCAAAATAGTGTCAAACAATGTCACAACAGTGTACTCTACAGTAAAATTTACTCCTCAGTAAATTTATTTCCTTAATATGTGTAAAGTTAAAGTGTAAACTTAAATAACGACCGGAGGGAGTATATTTTATCAGTTTAATAATCATTTTATTTTTATCAACTGAATAGAAGAATGAATCAGTTCAAGAGTTTATTATTGTCATATGTAAGTATAGCAGCTCACTTCTCTCCGATTCTCTGCCTATGTACTTGCATTTTCACAGTTCAGGGCTTCAGGCATATTTTATTATACATTTTGCCCCAACTTGTTTCAAGTGATATTTGGGCACCTTATTTACTATTATTCCCAGCCGACAGAATTATATTTATTGTGCAACTGTTCTCGAAGAGGTGAAATATCCAATATTGCATGACTAGTCTCCATATAGCTAATATCCGAATACAACTAAACTTCGTGTGGCATTGCATATCTACTGCTAAAATATGGTTCACTCGAAATAAAAAGTAAAAGATCGGCATAGTGTCCGAAGTCCAATCCACCTGAAAAACAAAATAAAAGTCAGAGGAAGCAGGTCGCCGACTCACTCCCTTATGGGAGGTCTCGGGTTCGAAACTGAATGAATTGAGTTTCAGCGCAGATTACTCCAAGCCCCCAGACGCCCCATGGAGTAATAAAAAAAAAGTCACTTTCACAAACTCCACAATTAGTTATGCATTATAATTACTTCCAAGGTGAAATCCATACAACCTCAAAGTAGTTAAGTTAATCGTGCATATGTATGCCAGTATCATAAATGTGCCTATTTGTTGATAAATTTGTAAATCAAGATGATGTATTGAAGTGTACATGAACACTTATAGTTTTAGGCTTTAGCTAACATAAGTTAAATTAGAATAACTAATTGAGAAAAGGGTCACATAAGCCCTTGTACTATTGCAAAAACATCACTTAAACCCCTCTACTAAATAAAACATCACATAAACATATCAACTCTTAAAAGAGAGTCACATTAGCCAAACTACCGGAAATTCATTCTTTTCAACCGGTCACTCGGTCAATTGATATCCTTTTCTTTTTCTTTATTTTTCCGTCTACTTTTGGTTACGTTCTCTTTCTTCCTTTCATTTCTCCAGCTCTCTCTTCGATCTTCTTCCACCTTCCTCATTCTTTTCATTTTTTTTCTTTTTCTTATTCTTTCTTAACTTTTTCTTTCTTCTTTTTTTACCACCTCATAGACAGGGACGGATCCAGGATTTCTATTCAAGGGGGGCGAAATTTTTCGGTAGTGTAGGTGGTGAAAAAAATTTCGTTAGTGTAGTGGGGTGAAATTTTTTCCCCTAGTGTAGCGGGGCGAATTTTTTCCGCTATTGTAGGGCTATGCGGCTAATTTTATTCAAAAAATGGCATTAATACATACACATCCCCAACGACATTTAAATCTATTAAGTAGTACATTCTATGTTTAAATTAGACGACGACAAAGACATCAACCAATACATTTTTAATAACTTCTACATTGTTTAACCTCATGAATCGGTTATTATTGAATTGTAATTTTTGTCCGGCCACCAAGGAGGGTGTTCGTGAGTCATGACTCATGAGAAGTTTTCTTAATATTACAATAGTAGTATGTATGATATTATTATTTTTAGAATAATATGCACCACATATATGGTGCATATTATATTTTAATATTTGTATTAATGCTATAATAATTTAACGTTTATTATCTATGCAATAAATTATTTTTAGAAAGCAAGAAGTAAATGAATTATGTAATTTAATGTCAATAAACATTTATATTTTGGATTCATTTCACGTGATCAAAAAATTGTGTAATTAGTGTGTCTGATATTTAATATTGTTTGATATATATTTTACAAAATCAAGTACTTGTTATCTAATAAAGATAATTAAACATTACAAAACTAGGAATTCTTATATAATAAGTATCCTAAATCTTAAACAACGAGTTATTCTATTGTTTATTTGTTTAAGTTATGTAATTATTTTAGATGTTCTTTCTTTTAAATCTTCAATTAAGTATTACATTATGTAACACTATATATTAATTTTGAAAATTAAAAGCTAAGGGGGGCGAATCTAATTAAATTATGAAAGTTTTATGAAAATATTACATATATGGTAGAAAATTTTGAAAGTCCAAGGGGGGCGGTCGCCCCCCCCGCGCCCCCCCCTAAATCCATCCCTGCTCATAGACAACGAAGAGAGGTGGTCTACAAATCCTAATCTAGATCCAGTAAGCTGAAATTAAAGTTACATCCTTCATGCGTGCACGTCTTATACGGACGGGTACGTATTATAGCGAGTGTTTAAATAGCCGGCCGCTACTGCTATATAGTGGTCGCGGTAGGCACCGCTACCGCTACGGGCCGTTATCATGGTGTGATTTTCGAATCACGGGATAATTATGCTATGCCGCCCGCTACAGGCTGCTACCGCCACTTCCAGCAGTACACCACGAATTGGTTGATGTGAGAAAATACATTAATGGTGATGCATGGACTACAGGTCGCTACCGGCACTTGCGGGAGTACATCACAAACTTCCGGAGTGAAACTCTTAATTAAATATACATGTATCCACATACATTATGGTAGCAAATATTACTCCCTCCGGTTTTTAATAAACTTCACACTTTCCTTTTTGGGACGGTCTAAAATAAACTTCACACTTCCTAATTTCCTTTTTTGGCAAAGAAATCTACATCAAAACAGTACCAAACAGTGCCAAACAGTGTCTCAACAGTGCCAAACAGTGTCTCTACAGTGTCAAACAGTGTCAAACAGTGCCTCAACAGTGTACTCTACAGTAAAGTCAAATTTCTTTCCTTATTTTGTGTGAAGTCAAACTGTGAAGATTAAGAAAAACCGGAGGTAGTAATAAATATCTAAATTTTAATTATTAAAACCGAATTAATTATTAATAAGGATGATTTAACTTTAATATTGGTTGACGAAAAAACTGTTGACTTAACAAAACAATTTGGAACGAAAGTGGTATTATTATGGATTATGCAAGTTGCAATGCATGGTCCAATTCTTAAAATTTGATTGTAAAAGGACAAAAAATTTCATATAAGTAATATATTTTTGGGACGGAGGAGTATATCTTTTTATTGAAAATTATTTATAATATACAAATAAAATAATAATGTTCTTTATTAAAAATATTTTCATAAAAGTATAAAATTTATAACTTTTACTACCTACGTAATTTTCATATTAAATTGTAGGTGGTGACTGTGTAATATTTCGAACTTTTGTAATGTGTCATTTAATGTAACAATCTATTTAATTTAAAGTTGTGTTAACACTTGTTTAGTTTGAAAACATTTTTTATTGTGTGTGTAATAATTATTTAGTTTATCAATCGTTCTAATTATCATTCTCTTTTAATTGTCATATTCTTATTGGTTGATTAGTTGTTAATGTTATAAATGTTCAAACAAATATTCATAATGTCCTATTAACTTTAACACCCATTAAATATATATATATGTTTTGCGCATTTGAAAAAATTTATCGCCGCTACAACCGCTACAGGCCACTACAGGCCCGCAGGCCGCTACCGAGATGACCATTACCGCTATGGCTATTTAAAACACTGATTATAGCAAGAGTCATGGATGTAATATATAGGGCGCATGCAAGAGTACAGAAAAATCAATTCTGATCAATTATTTCTTTCACAGTTTCACATGTTTGTCTAGACCTCTAGATAAAGCTTTTATTTGCCAATACTGTTTGCTCTTACGTTCCATCTTCATCAGGAAGATCAGAAAAGAAGAATATTAAAATTAGAGGAACAAAAATAGAAGAAGTGTATGTAAGAAGGGGGGACGGGCCGGGAGCTGAAGTAGGAACCCAGCGGAAGATAGATAAGGAGAATTAAAAAACAAAAGGTAAAGAAGTTCAGTGCATTCGATCGGGAGTAACTAGCTAGAAATTAAAGAAAAAAGAGAAAGAAAAAGGAACAAGAAAAAAAACAAATATGCAATTCCTGCAAATGAGTGCGAAGAAGACTAGAAGAGATAGTTGGAGAAATGAAACGAAGAAAGAGAATCAAAAGGGGAGACGGAAAAATAAAGAAAAAGAAAAGAAATGAACTGACCGGCTAAAAAGGGTGAAATGCCGGTAATTTGGTTAATGTGATCCTCTTTTAAGAGTTGATATGTTTATGTGATGTTTTTTTAAGTAGATGAGTTTAAGTGATGTTTTTGCAATAGTACAGGGGCTTATATGACCCTTTTCTCTAACTAATTTTAAGAACTAATACTTTCACAATGTCCCTTTATATTCAGGAGCATATGAAGCATATCGGAATCCGGTCCTTTTTGCAAAATGGTCTTCAGTACAATCTCACATGTGCTATTGTCGGGTGAGAGTCCAAGTCTTGACATCTCTTCTAAAAGTAATACAGCTTCACAATATTCATTCTTTTTCAGTAACCCACGGATGAATACATTGTATGCCACGCTATTAGCAGTATAACCGTTTTTCTTCATTTTGTTGAACATATCTCTAGCATCTTCGAGCAAACCTTCTCGGCAAAGCCCACTTATCATTCTACTGTAAGTAAATTTATCTGGCATCACTCCTTTAGAGGGAAGGGCATCAAAGAGTTCCATTGCACTCCATGCCTTCCCATCATTCCATAACCCATCAATGACACTAGTATAACAGACTATATCGGGGGTAGGACTATGACTTTCCATCATTCTCAATAAAGATAGCGCTTGAGGAACACGATGATTCTTACAGAATCCATCTAGAAGAATAGTGTAGGTGAAGAGAGTTGGATGTTCTTGATTTCTCACCATTTCCTTAAAAAGCTTCTCAGCATCCTCACATTCCCCATTGTGAAACAAACACGCCAACATAATGTTGTAGGTAACAACATCGGGTTTTAAGCCTCGACTTTGTAAATTTTCAAATAAGTGTATGGTCTGATTTGAACACCCACTCTTGTAATATCCATTCATTAAAATGCTATAAGTGAATATATTAGGGTCACATCCCCTATCTATCATGGTCTGTAGGAGTTCCAACGCATTGTTCAGTTTTCCGTGTAAGCAGTACCCATCTATCAAAGCACTGTATGTGATTACATTAGGTTCCAGACCTTCTTGGATCATTCTATCTATGAGTTTTGCAGCACTGCCAATCCATCCTTCCCTGCAAAATCCAACAACTAGAATGGTGTATGTACGGACATTGAGCGGAACTCTATAGTCAATCAATCCGTTCAGTAACTTTTCGACCTCTTCCCACCGACTGAGTTTGCAAAGCCCATCAAAAAGTGAATTATATGTCACAACATCGGGAGGAATTCCCTTTCCCATCATCTTCTGTAACAAGTCAAGAGCATTGTCCACCATTTTATCCTTACACAATGAGTCAATGATGGTGTTATATGCAAATACATTTGGCTTGCAATTTCCCTTCTCGTCAAATAAGTGAAGCAGCTTAACAGCTTTGCCAGTGTGTCCTACCTTGCAGAGGCCATCAATGAGTATGGATAATGTGAATTCATTTACCTCACATACTTTTTCATTCAATACTTTCTGGAACAACCAAACAGCGTCTTGAACCCTATGTTGCAGAAAAAGCCCTTTCAGTAAGGTGCTGAACAAAACCACATCAGGTACTAGACCCAGCTTGAAATGGATTCCTAAAACAGCAAATGCAAAATCTACTCTGTGCAAACGGGCAAGGGAATTGGCAGCAATGTTGAGTGTGAACTCATCTATCAGAAGGCCGGAAACAAAAAAATCTCGAAATAGAGAGACAGCCTCGGGGTAACAACCCATCTTGACAACAGCATTCAAGAGCTGGTTGAATTTCACTATGGGAGGACGAGGTTTCATTGTAACCATGTGACGGTACAAACCAATTGCATCGTCCAACTTAATAATACTCGCAAACTTAGATTTACTGAGTTGAGAGTACGAATCTTGAATTTTCGGCACAGCAGGAACATCATGAAAACTACAGGGGAAGTTAAAGAAGGGAAAGTGAGGGATGGGTAAATGGAAGTTACCCGGTGATAATTGTCTCCATGACCAACCGAAAAAGAGCCCGGGAAAGCCATTCATCTTCTTCATTTTTCAGGCAGGCTTCTTAGCCGTGCAGGGAGATCACGCTGAAAGTGTGTCGAAGATCCACAAAAAGCAGGCGAGACCCATAGATAAAGTCATGCCATTGATCTTCTAGCTGTTCCAAAACTACATTCAGAGTTCTGTTTGCCACTTTGGTAGCGCCGGGCGGTCAAGTTCACAGAGTGCCAAGGATTGAAAGAAGGAACTATGCCAAGGATTTTACTTCCCTTTTAATTTTACTAATTCCTTACTTGGCACTTAATGAAGTGGTTAAAAAATAAAAATTATGATTAATGTTTGAGTATAATAAAGTGAAATGGTATAAGGGTCTGTTTGCAACAACTTCTGTTTTTAAAAAAGTACTTTTTTTAATGAAATGAGGAAAAGTGATAAAATAAAAGTTGATAGTGTTTGAGAAAAAAGTGATTTTGAAAAGTAAAAGTGGGTAGTGTTTGGTAAAATAAGTGCTTTTTGTGTAATAGAAAAAGTAAAAGCACTTTTGACGCGGAAGCCGAGAAAAATAAAAGTTATAGTGTTTGGAAAAATAAGTGCTTTTTAAAGCCAAAACCTGAGAAGTGCTTTTTTAAAATGAGTTGCAAACCAACCCTAAAGCACGTATTTCTTTCCAAAAAAAGAATGTAGACACTCATTTTGATATTAATTTTAGCATTTAGATTTATTTTTAAAAAATGAAAAAATTCACACCAATAATCCGAACTATTAAGGGTCTTCTCATATTAATCTCAATCTCAATTATACTTAATTCCAAAATAATCCAAAATTCATGGGTACCTACTCAATAGGTAAAAAACTTCAAAAGAAAAAAAGGTACTCCCTCCGTCCCAATTTGTTTTACAAAGTTAACAATTTTTGGTCAACCAATAATAAAAGTCAACCATCCGTATGGATAATTAATTCAATTTTTAATAATTAAAATTTACATATTCAAAAACTACATTAAAATCTCTTCAAAGTTGTAAACTTCAAATTAGAATATAATTAAAAATTGACATTCTAATTAAGTGAACAAAACGAGACTATTTGACTAAGAAAAGACAAATTTGCAACTCTTTTTGGGATAGAGGTAGTAAAAAGGAAGGAAAAAATAGGATAGAGTCAGGTGAATGGAGCAATCCTACGCCTTTGCCTCTAGCGTCATCTTCCCCCTTTGCTTTTCTTTCCTGTTTTCTTTTTCACTTTCCTTCCCTTTTTTTTTTTATTCCATTCAAATGTAATCGACGGTCATGACTGCATCACACTTAAGAGGAAAAAGAGTTTAATTGCTTGGACTGTAGGCATAGTTTCTCGATCTAGCCCTACCCATTGATTGTTCTACTCTGTTCTTTTCTTTTTCTCTTTGTGCCGCACATGAATATCTCTTTCTCCCCTTCAACTTCATTTTTTATGTAGGTTTTCGACCATGCTCAAATTTGTACTTCTTTCTTTGAATTTCAGATTTGGAAAAGTTAATCTGGACAATCTAGGGGTTTTGCCATAAATAGTACTAAAAATGGAATGATTGACCAAAAAGTGACCATTTTTTAAAATTTCCAGAAATGTAACTAGTAAGCTTTAAACTTACATAAGTATCCCTAATTTGCAGTTACTTTGTCTTATAGTTACATAACCCGCCACAGTTACACCCCCAAAGTGACATCCGCCGCAGTGACACCAACCCGCCGCCGGTCAGGGATCGCCACCGACCAGTGATGGTTGCCGGTCACAGTTATGGTTCCACAGTGACACGTCCATAGTAATACTTCCACAGTGACATCGCTCACAACCACCGGCCGGCGTCCACCACCACCAGGCACTGACCTCACCCCCACTCCCCAACCCGAACCCCAGACCTACACCTCGTCACCACTGTCAATATGTCATAACCACCATAGTGACCCAATTACAGTGACACCCCATTAAATCCACATTGACTTGGACACTGCCTCTATCCCGCAGCCACCACTCGTACCGTGGTCTCGCCACCAGTGACACCACTACTGCCTCTAGCCCCATCCCAAGCCCCAAATCTCCCGCCCCCAACCCCATCCCCAGCTCTCCTACCACAAATCCCTAGCTCCTAATCTCATCACCCCAACTTCCTCCCCCTTCCCCCAGCCCCAGCCTGTAACCGGAATCCCCGCACCACCACAGCCCCGCTACTCCCCTGCTGCCGCAGCATCATCGCGGATCTGGAACTTCGCCAGAGAGATGCCGAACAGAAAGAGAAGAAAAATAAGCAACCAGGGCGAAGACCACGACGATGAAGATGGCGAAGGTGATTGCGAGGGGGTGGAGACGGCCAGGGAAGTTTAGGCCCTAGCGTCGGCCATGGAAGATGAGGCGGTGGCGACGACCAGGGAAGCCGACTAGGGAAGCAGAGGCGACCACGATCTGCTGCACTATTAATGGTGGAGATTGATGCCTCTGCGTGGGTGTGCTCCGTTTCTCCATCGAAGGCAGCTGCTGGCTTCTAAAGTTGGAGCGCATCAAATGTGGAGGATAGCTTAGGGTTCAGGGACATTAAAGTCCAATAACCCATTTTCCGTTACTTCTTTTGTCCAAACAGAGTTTTAGTTCTATTTTTGTATTTCCGTAAGTTATTACTACTATTTACGTCCTTATTCCATAAAGTAATTATAACTTTTACTCAGCAACTTCTAATTCTTAAAATATTACAAATCAAACATCAATACATATTAAAACAGCGTTTAAGTTCCTCAATTTTGAACTTACGCATATAAGAATAACTTGAACATGAACTAAACACGGAAATTTCAATAATAATGCACAATTTAGGTCAAATTGTATAAGTTCATACATTTCGAAGTTGGATTTAGACAAAAACACAATTTATTCTGAAAAAAATCAAAGTCGAAAGCAAAATACCTTCGAGAAACCCTAGCGCTCTTTGTCTTCTCGTTCTGCAATTCGTCGAAGATTTTGATATTCCTATCTGCGCTGTTGAACATGAACTGAATTAGTGCGACTACCGCCGTTGCTCGATTGAAAGTCGCCGTAGTCGCTGGAAGTACCGTCGTCGCTACTGCGATTACTTTTATCGTTCGCGATTCAACTTCGTAGAAACTTATTGGACGATGCTCGTTGCAGTTTCAGAACTTTAGCGCGTCTTCGGGAAGTGTAATGTTTAAATGTTGCGCGTTTTTAATTTTAAAATCTGGCCATTGATTAACTTCTAATCGGACGGTTCTAAGAGCTTCTCACTTTTCAGCCGTGTGAGGCTTCTCACCAGATTCATTCTCTCTCTATATATATATAGAAATATAGAATTTATTGGTGGTTCCTAGTCTTCTGCAATTTCAACGATGCTTTGTTTGAAATTTATTTTGCTAATTTTTTATTTACATTGACTGTTTGTTGCACGATCCTTTTTTATATAATGGTGCAAATCCCTTTTGTGATTATACTTCAAAGTTATCTCACATGTCAACTGTAGATACAGGGGGCGGATGTACTATCTAAACGATGGGGGCACATGCCCCCAATGACTTCTCAATATGTTTGAGTTTTTAGCTTACAAAATCATTCTTTTCATAAATTAATAGTAGAGTGCCCCCAACAAAAATAAGCAGTGCCCCCATCAATAATTAATGTTTGTGACTCATTTATTTTGATTGTCTTAGCTATTGAATAATGCGTAGCTAGTCGTTCTCTTTACTCTCTTCTTCATTAACTAATGATTAATTAAATTTAATGTAATTTGTTTTATTTTGAATCAATTTTTTTGGAGCAGGTTAAAGAAATACTTCCGTACTATAAGAGAAAATTACTTCCATAGTTCCATCTAATCATATTTAATGGGGTGATAAAGAAAACGTTCAAGCGATATGTATTATATTAAAATAATGTGTACTCCTTTAAGTAATTGGTTGGAATACTCCCTTCCAATCATGCAAAAAGGAAAACAGTTTTTGGATATCATTCTAATCAATATATCAAATCGATAAAAACGAAAATATTCACGTAAAGGAAAATTCCTTATATAAGACTACAAGTCTATACTACAACATAAATAAAGTGCATATATAGAACTATCATTGTTTTCTTCCTAAAATGAGACTTTTTCTAATAGGAAAATTTTGTACATTTAATAGATTGAATCAAATAAGTCTTATTTCGAAAATAAAATACATGTAATTCTATTTGTACATTTTGTCTAAGTTTTGGTCCTATTTAGAGCAAGTTCTAGTCAAACTTGTGGCTATGATTTTCCTCAATAAATGATAAGAAAAGACTACGTTACAGACGATGTCGTGATAAAAGTGATATTTTGTATTTGAATAATGTTATGAATTTTATATTTTAAATTTTTATTATATTTTCTTGTTTCGATCTCTAGTGACTTTACTAATAAGGTGCCCCCAATAAGTTTGTTTCCTAGATCCGCCCCTGTGTAGATACCGTTAGAAATAAGTATTGGCTACGTATAAATAATTGAATATTTATCATCATATTTTATTATTCACATTTCCATTTAGGGATAGATCCGTGCCGGGCCAGAACGGGCTCAGCCAGGTGGGCTTTTTTCTCCAAAAATTGGGCTCGATACCAACCTGGTTTCTACCGGTACCGAACCCAAGTTGGTACCGAAATTCCATTAGTGCATTAAAAAACGTATAATAGGATTATTAATTTCTAAAGGTTTATGTTTAGTCATTTGCTAGAAACTGATCTCTTAAATGACTGCAAAAACAAACTCATTTATGTTTAGTCTTTCTTCCAGTATTATTTAATAGTGGTAATATATTCACAGCAAGTTCAAATAACTACAAATTGATACATATTTTTATGGCAAATTATTTAATAGTGGTATTATATTCACAGCCATTTTCTTGTAAAAAAATGTTATTGTTGGAGTACATTACTGGAAGAAAGACTTCTCAAAGAGCATATGTGTGTTGTCAAAAAAAAAAGCATATGTGTAGTTTCTTCTCACATCTACACTTGGCCATTTAATTTGGTCCATCCATCATTAAAAATTGCATGGAGAGCATACTTGTATACGATTGTATATATTGACTATAGAAGAATATGAAAGGGTGAAAATCCATGCAGAAACGAAAAGTTTGACATTAATTTGGGCCACGAAGTATACTACCGAGTACCCCGTATTAAATACTCCGTATTTCCTACAAATTCTTTCCCAAGCAATTTTTTGGCGAGAACTTGTGCCTTAAGA